TTTTTTTTTTTTAAACCGTGCTCCATCTATTGGTGGGGAGCAACACCTGCTGGAAACCGGGTCCAGCGTCCCATAGATACAACCATATCTTTAGGGGGATCACTTAGGAGAAAGATTGCGAAAATGTGATCGTCGGAGGACAGGGGTGTCATCCAGAGGAGATCCAAAGACATTATTTTCCAGTATCTTTTATGATTGTACCACGTTGGACCCCTCTATACCATTGCACCCCTTTCCTGATTTCTCAGACTGCCTCCCTCCCTCAGCTTTGACCCTTTTGCCTCAGAGTTGGTTATGGGTCCGAGCAGAATGCTCCTGGGGTGCTCTTTTTCTGCAGACTGTGTGGGTGCAACCTGCTTAGCCCTGATGCCTATAACCGCAGTCTTGAATGGGTGATGATACTGCGCATGCTCGGGTAGGACGTTGGGAGTAGGGATTCGCCAGGGATTGTGATGGTGAGTAAGGGTGGGAGGGAGTCTCATAGGGGGACAGTTAGGCAATACAGCACTATGATCAAATGGTCAGGTGGTGAGGGGCCTGTCATATGACTGTACTGTCAAAACAAAACAAAAAAAACGAAAAAAAAAAAAGTTAAAAAAACATACAGGAGATGCATCTGGCACCTGATTGCATGGTGAAGGGGTACATTCAACAGTCCTGATTGCTATGGTCAGATGAGACAAACACCGCAGTAACGAAGACTGACAACTGGCTAACATCACCCTGTGCTAACAGACCCAATAGGATACAAACACCACTTCAATAGATCTGTTCACTCATACAAACTCTTTTCAGAATGTTCAGTTCAGGGACGCTGGACCCGGTTTCCAGCAGGTGCTGCTCCCGACCAATAGATGGAGCCTCCCCGGGAGTGCTAGCGGTGTCTGCTCTTACCAGCACCCCTAGCACCCGCTCGGGCTGTTCTGATTTCATTCTTCCTCTCCTACTGGACTACATCCGTCTTTCTATGGGATGCTGAAAAATGCAATTATGTGAAAGGAATTCGCATTAGGCCCGGTTTCCAGCGGGCGTTACTCCCCACCAATAGATGATGGAGTGGCCTTTTTTTTTTTTTTTTTTTTTTATATCACATGCCAACCAGCCCAAACCACTCTTTCTTTATTCAGGACCTACAGGCATACAAGGAATGGTTGCTCTTATCACCATCCCTAGTAGGCTCCATAGGGGTCTTATGTTATATATTAAGAAAAAAAAGAAAGAGGGCGATCCAAGCAGCCCTCAGTATTGGTTTCCACTAAGTGGCTCGTTCCGCACATCACTTGAAGACCCTTGGAAAGAGTTTCACGTAAGCTGCTTTACGTGCACTAAGCGCACAGAATTCCTCCGTTAGAGGCAAAAGAATAGTACGCCCATTCTCTGTTTATGGCTCGACTGAGAAACCACTTGGAAAAGGTGGCACTTACGCCCAAAACCCTTGGTTGGAGTACCCCCGGACCAATATTGGGCGCCGAGGGAAACAACAGGGGGGGGGGGAACACTTTCCCGCCCCTTCCAGCATGTTGCATTCGCACTCTAGTACCTCCAAGCACTTCCTTGATAAGGCACCATTTTGCCCCAGCCAGCCTTAAACCGACACCACTGCCTTTCCCCGCTTGAATATCAAATACGGGCCGCTGGAATATCTGGGCAACTTTCAGGGGTCGGGGAAGGGTTGGAAGTGCGACGGCGGACAAAGCCAGTGCGCCCACAGAAAAGGGGCAAACAGACTGCTTGTTTTTTTGTTTTCTTTTTTAGACTGCTTGTTTTCTTCCCAGGTCATCGGTGCATTTGGAAACACACTTGCGCGGACAAAAAAAAACAGGCAAAACGTGCAATACGAGGGAAACCAAAAAAAAGAAGAGAGCTTTCGGGGTCACTCAAACATCCCAGATACGGGGGTGCCGCGGCTGGGCAGCTGCGCTAAATTTTGCGCCAAAGTAGGCCGCTCCGAACCGGCGCTGGTAAGGGTAGACGGGGCTATGGTGTTTCTATCGGTCATACCCGAGCCCTACCTCTTCGCCAACCCCGCCATCGCGACGGGAAGCAAAGGACTCTTCAAACTCACTCTCCGTGATAACCGACTGTGTTGGATTAGAGTCCAGTAGAGGAAGCCTTCATGTTCAGCTGACACATAGCAGATGGTAAGCCTCGAGAGATAGAGGCGTAAGGAAAGGAGGGGGAGAGGTAGTATGATACTTCAGTAAAAGTTATCGTAAGGTACATCAGGAGAGAGTTATTCAAGAAGGAAGAAACGAGGAGAAGGGAGGAGGATCGGAAAGTGAAGGGAACCGGTGTAGTCAAGACACTCTGAAGAAGAGGCAATGGTATCCAAAGGATGGCCCCTGGGTCACATAGGGGCGCTGCGCTCCTCCTAGCTACGGCAATTCCGAGGCCCCGGCGATCTCAGCCATCTCTTCGACAGGCCACTCGATCGACCTGTTAAAGGCGCCAGATACCGGTCAAGGGAGAGTGCTCCATACGACCTACGTTTTTGCGGAGAACGAAAGACAACCTACTAGAGGGCAGAGATGGGCGGTTGCCCGTAGTCCCAGGTCACACGTAACCTGTTTTGGAAACGATTAGGAAGAGTCTCCATCCAGCCCCGGTGGTCAACATCGCGTAAAGGACAATGATTTCTCGGAGACCGATTGAGATTAGAAGGAGGAAGACGTGATTAATAAGGGAGAAAGGGGACTAAGACCATTAGGTAGAGTCCGGGAGTGACCTATCCTCACGTGGAACAAAAAGAAAGTGACGTCCAGTTTAATTCAAGCGTTGACCAGAGAATAAGTTTCGGGTACTGAGGAGAACACAAGAATATAGTTCGTTTATTACCAACTTATCCTAAGGGAAGGGGGTGAACGCTGAGTATGAATGGGGAGGGGGCAGCAAAAGGAGGGAGAGGGAGGAGATCCCCCCCCCCTCGACCCCCGGAAACAGATTTCTGGGCCAGGGAGGATAGAACAAGGCAATCGATTGGTCAATGTGATGACGAAGGGGTGGTCCAGTTAGTAGACAACGTGGGAGAGGTAGTGATAGATGAGAGAGGGAAGCGCTTCAAAGTGAATGAGTCTTTCAACGCGATCAAGGAGCGATGGTTGAAGGAGCGAATGGTCATGTTCATTATTCAAGATGTTGCCCGGGATCTCAACACGAGTGTAAACGAAGATCTAATCAGGGCACCCGAAGATGGTTGGATGGCTAGGCGACTGTTCGACCCGAGTGTGAGAAGGGGCAAAGTCAAGTTCGAGAGTCCGGACGTGGTTTCTTATGTGGCAAAAGCAGTGGAAGTGGCAAATTGGCTTATCAAGAAGAGAACGATCAAGTTGGGACTAAGGGGAGTAGAGTATCCAGTGTTGGTAAAACCATGGATGACGAAGCCAGAGTTGAAGGAGTTGAGGCTGAGAGAAGCGGAGACGAACTTCTGGATAATTGCACTCAGGGTTCCTCTGGATGCAATATGTTATCTTCCATCGGCGGTGCAAGGCTTAATCAGAGGTGTGAAGTTTATGCACCCACCGGAAGCTGATAGATGTAAACCGAGGCTAATGAACATCAAAATAGATATGGAACCGCAGGCTCGGTTTCGGGTGGAGGATACTCTAACGATAGAGTCACCGAAGGGAGAGCTGTGGACCGTGGAATCGGCCACTCCATTTTCGGACTGGTGCAGGAAGTGCCGCTGGTACTTCCACACAGAAGAAGAGTGCCCGAGACAATCGGCGTCGGGCCCGAGACGCAGTTGGTCAAACTCTCGCCTTCCACCGCAGCAACCCCAAGGGAGACAGCCACAAAGTTGGGTTAAAGGACAAGGCCACTTGCAGCAACAAGTTGGGCCGATTCGAGGCGGGCTGCCTCCTGCTTATCCGCAACCACAGACAAGGGCCCCTCCTCCTTAACAGGGAGGTTCTCTGGGAAGGTCGGTCGAGAGAACGCAGGAACAGCAGGGACTGGGAAACAGCCTGGCCCCACAAGGCCACCCGGCGGTTCAGTAGGGAGTAAGGGGACAAGCACTATACCCAAATGTCACAGAGTTTGGTTACTACGCTCTTGTGTACCCTCCACCTCCAGGGATCTCACTTCTGACACTATGGGCTAATCCGCCTGCTGGACCAGCGGGTCCGGGACTGCAGTCACCATACCCTCATGCGGGTCAGCCGACATTAGTAAGGGAAGCTCATCAGTCACAGGGCGGATGCGGAATACCAGGTTGCCAGACGGCTCATGCATACCAGACAGTATTCCAACCAGTACTGATAAGGGCGATGCAAGGGCAAGATCAACCAACGCTGGCTATAAGGGGAGAGGGAGGCCAATATACGCCTCAGAAGTGGGACAGACAATCGGAGGGACCGGGAGGGTTGAGACTCCGAGACCCCAGGGTCCAGAGGGCGTCAGGGGGACAAAGTGCAAAATTGATGAGGAATCCAGCTATGGTAAGGGAAGAGGTGCAGGGAGGCGCGCAAGGAGATTGGAGGGGGAACCAATCAGGTCTATCCTCCTCCTCAAGATCGAGGGTGGAGATGGGAAGTGAGTTTGTTGGAGACGACCGTTCACTGGGGGGCACAGGATTCTTACAGGCAGAGGGTTCAAAATCCTCCACTGGAAGCTCAGGCGCTGCACTGAGACGGGGAGAAGGAGATCCAGACACATCGAGTAAACGGGGATATAGGATCCAACAGGGACAGGCGCCAAGACCAGTCGAAAGGAGGATGGTTTCACTCGTCTGCGCAATGGCAGGTAGCTCTCTTTTTTTCCTGGGTTTGACTCAGTCGAATGGGCGGCCATACTTACCATCTGTTGCTACGCCGAAGACGCCGCTCTCGGGGGAGATTGTGACACATACGAAGTTCTTGTTTGGAGATGTATTTCCAATCAGGATCATCCCACGTTCAGTGATGGTAAGTTGGAGACCCCACGTCGTGCCAGTCGATAGGCGGGGGTCCAGCGTTTGGCAAATGCCGGAATGTAGACCCTTTTTCTGGTCTTCAGTCGAGCAACTTGTCACGTCATGGTGCGATGTGGGTTGGGTTCGCTCAGGAACGCTTCGGTATCTAGGGTGAGAACAAAAGCCAATGATAGACTCTCACTCTCTCGTGGCCAAATGTTGTGGCTATCTCACTTTGCCAGGTTCCCTGTGACGGCCGGTAATGCCACCATGAGTGTCGAACCATCCATTCGATTGCTTCATACATCGAATGCAGCTATAGTTGCTATTTCCGCTGAAAGTCGATCACCTTCAGGCTTTGCAACACCATCCAAACGCCGGGGTCGGGTGGGCTCCATCGATAGGTCGCCTGAACGGTGTGTTGTTCGTCACCGACAGACGGTCACGGGCAACAACGTCGTTAGACGTCTCCGTCTCGAAGATATCCTCAATGGAGGCACACAAGTCGCTTCCATCGGTGTGTCCACAGCTTCGGGGGCCTCGAGTTTCGTGCACCCGCTACCTGTGAGCGACGAGGATGATAACCCGTACGATTTCCTGCTTTCCCAAACAACCATCGCCGAGTTTGAACGGGAACAACTGCTGAGAGACCAAGTCCAACGAGAGCAAGTTTCGACAGATCGTCGTTCAGATGTCGATGATGCCACGGTGGGGGGACTCGCTGTTCCTCCTCAGCCTTCGTCGTTCGGTAGACAAGGGAAAAGGAGGTACACATACCACACGCGCAAAAGAGGGTCGAACGAGTCGGATGCCACATATGAACGTAGATGCAGCCTCGAAGAGTGCGAGGCAGTTCTGAAGAAGACATGTTGCAAGTTTTACGGATGTCTCTCTAAAATGAAAGCAGTGGAGGTCCAAAAGTGTAGACGCGAGTTTAGATCGGTTAGAGGCAAGGACATACGCAAGTGGTGGATATCCAAGCTTCGTAGTTTCACATCGCTGGTCCAAAGGAAGCCGAAGGTGAAACCTATTGTAGAAATGCATCCGGTGTGTGTCACCGCGTGGTGTTTGATGCTCGGTTGTGGCCGAAACACATACAAACGACATAACGATGACCTCGGCGAAGGAGTGGTCGACGCTGGTCATGCTAACGAGGGTCGTCCTCGGACAACAACGCAATATGCGTTAACATGGTCAGCATTCGAGGATATTATCCTCGACGAGTCCGATCCCATGCCGGATCAGATGGAGACAGGTCCGGATTTCGAGATTAGGAACCGTATTCGTCTCCCTTCAGTGTATGCTTCTAAGAAAGATGTCTATAGAAGCATCGAACGTAGGTTAGACAAACTGGGCGTATCTTGCTCGTCGTATCAGGTGTTCTTATGGAGAGATTTTTTTTGGCACGTTCGGCTCGCTCGAGTGACTGACCACGCAAGGTGCAACGAGTGCATAAAAAACACCATCCTCATTGAGGGAGCCCTGTCGGGGCCACGGCGGGAACTGGTTGCCGCACAAAGAAGCCACCTTGATCTGCAAAAGGCTCATCGCAAGTTGTATGACCGATGGTCGTCCGAGTCTCAGCTGCATAAGGACCAGAGTTTGTGCATCATTATTGATGGAATGGACCAGGCAAAAACTACCATCCCACATGCATCACGCCGACATTTGTCTAAGGACATGGCTAATAACATGATGATGAAAACGAACCTCACCGGTATCATAACTCATGGTAGGAATCCGTCATTGATTGTGCACACATGGTTTCCTTATCTATCGCACGGATCGAATTCTGTAGTTACATCCATTGCCAAAGTTTTGAGGGACGTGCAAGCGCGAGAAGGGAAACTCCCGTCGGTGCCGCGCGTCCAAGATGATAACTGCGGCGGACAGAACAAAAACAGATTCGTTTTCGCATTCCTTGCAATGTTGGTCAAGTTTCGGATTTTTGACGAGATCTTGATGGGGTTCATGATAGTTGGCCACACCCACACCGACATCGACGCGAAGTTTAGTTTGTTTGCTCGCAAACTCAACGGGTCTGACGCGTACACGATGGAAGAACTGTTTGCGGTGCTCCAAATGTCTTGTCAGGAACAAGTGGAATGCACGCAACTCGCGGAAATTGTGCACTGGAAAACCGCGATCTCGCCGTACCTTGACAACTTGATTTCAGGCCATGCCACGCCCCACCTTTTCCGTTTTTACATGGAGGGTGATAATCCGGCTATGGTCTACAAAGCGCACTGCACCGACAAAAACTGGGGGCCTGACAAGGGACCGGTGTACTGGTTCAAACGTGGTGCGGACAAGAAATGGGCAGGTCCCGCATGGGGATTCGAGCCGCGCCGCGAGTCACCCAACCCCACTTCCGGTGACTTTACAAACGACAAAGCGGGTCTGCGCGTTTTAGTGAAGACGTGGAAGGACGCAATGAACGAATGGGAAACTCAAACTATAGAGGAGCGCCAACTCAAGACTGACAGACTGAGATACTGGACGGACCGTTTAGCCAAGTTCGACAACATTAAGGTGGAAGAGACCGGAACAGTGTCGTTGTCATACTCTTTTTGGCCATCACCCAGACCGAGCAAACCAAGTGCAGACTCCGCGGTCCCGTGCGTCGTGCCACAGCCATTGAGAAAACCGTGCTTTGTCGGCCATAGGAAGGATGCACCCAAACCAGAATTTGACCCTTGTAAAGTTGTTGAGATTGATAATTTCGTTGTTCTGCGCGCTCCGGATGACGACGTGCAAGAAGGGTGCACCTTTTGGGTTGCTCGTGTCATCAAGAAGGAGACAACCCGAATTTTCGTGGAGTACTGGAGGCCGTGCGGTCGCGAACAAGAGGTCTCAATGCTTTACGAAGATGCATGGAATAAAACGTGGAGAGTGGAAACTGAATTGGAACCCGGATGGCAAGACCTCAGAAGCGTGGCATGGGCATGGACCAGCGGAATTCGATCCAAAACGGGAATGAAAATCCGGAAAGGGGATGCACTTAAAACACTCGCATGCCGACGATCTCATACATGCCCATACATGCATAAGAAGAAAGGGGGAGAGGAGATAGAGTACACACTGCACAAAGACAGAGTAGGTAGCGGAAAACAATTATGCACAGGTGTGGAGACAACACAAAGTGCTTCTCACTCTCTGACGATACTCCCAACAACCAATCGCCGGATTCAGCTGATACTGCATGCAAGAACAGTCGGGATATCAATGCATGACGATTTTCGAAGACGCTCGAGGATTGTGGTTGGTGTCTCCATTTGCAGATAGTGAAACGCCGGACCCATCCTGGGCCGCTGCACCGGGAGATGGTAGAACATTATCGGTGGGGATGTCGAACCCCTCCACCCTCAATCGTGAAGGGGTCCGGCGTTACACAAAAGCCCGGGTGTGGTAGGGCGTATGACAAGCGCCAGAGCGCCACCCAAAAGCGGTCAACAGCCAGGGGGTCCCGCGTTTGTGAAGCACTGGACACACCCGCCAAACGCCGGACTCCTTCCCGCTACTGTGAACCGGAAGGGGGTCAAACGCCAGACCCCCTCTCTCCCCCCGCCCCCACCCCCTACCACTTCTATAATGGGACTGGAGGGGGGGGGGGGGAGGGGAAGGAAGGGGGCCAGCGTTTGACACCCCCCCCACCTCTTCTGTTAATGGAGGGGTGACGGAGGGAGGGGGTCCGACGTTTATCAAACGGATGACCGTGTAATAAGAGATGCTATTGACGTCGCTCACGCAGGTAAGTGCAGTTTCGTAAAGATGTCAAACGTCGGAACCCTTCACGAGGAGCTGGACAAGGGTGGAGTGGCGTGACATATCTCTAACGTTCATCTCAAGCATGCTGACAGCAGTGTATGTGTTTTATACAGAAGCTACTTCGCGTGTTTTCGACTGGTGGGATGACCAGTGATGACAACAACCGTCATCGACAGTTGGATGAGAATACCAAATTTCAGATTGTGGAGGCACTTCAAGTCGATCCATGGCTGACTGTGGTGTCATGGCGAGGAACAGTTGGGAACTGGAGCGAGAGCGATTGGGATCTCGCAATGATAGAATGTCCATGGGCGCACAACTTCAGATTTGCTAACGAAATGGAGTGGGGCCGGATCATCGAAATACGTTCTGCCTGTCTCGAGACAACATGTATACCGAACTATGCAGAGATTCACTGGATGAACGACCACCTGGCCACTTATGACCCTCTTGTCGCAAATGCAAGCCAAGATTCGACGAATGAGTGTTGTGAGGAGGATGGAGAAATTTCATGCAAGTTCGTAAGAACATCACCTCGCACGTGGCCGAAGCGGTTCAAAATTGAACTGCAAAGGTGCGGAAGATTTTGCCAGAGAATCACAACGTACCCCGTGCGTAACGAAGGGGGGACAAGCAATAAGCGCATATCGTATTGCTCTGTGAGAGTTTCCTTAAACGATAGCGATTTATGTAGAGTCAATTGCGTAGCATGCACAGGTAAGGGTGGAATATTAATAGAGGCACGATGCGAAGCACTGTCGAATGAACACGCATGCGAGAATTCGGTATTTAATGTGAAAGAGTTTGTGGACGAAGTAGAACATAAAATATGCACCATAAGAGACGTTATTGGCGTCGCTCTCGCCGGAACGTGCAGTTTCGTAAAGATGTCGTATATATCACCATTCGACAGGGACGACAATGACGAACCCGAGGGTTTGAAAATGCTCACATTCGGCTCACCCCTGCACAACTTGTATAGTTACGAAGGAAAATGTGTTAAACGCATTGGTTCATACTAGCAAATTTTCATATTAAAAATAGTTTAGCACGGATAGGCAAGTACCATCACTGAGTGTTGGCCCCATCGGAGAGTTATCATTTCGCGACTTTATTTACGAGCGTCTACACGTTCGATTTTGTCGCTCATGTGTGTGTGGTGTGTAGGGTGCAAAATGTCATCGACAACGTCGATAAGCATCAGTGGAAGTCCCGAGAGACACAAGCGCTCAATAAAACCATTTCCTCCTTGTGCGAAATCGGTGCAGCATTATAACGGTCATACTTGGCTCACGTATGACCCAAGAGAGGAATTCGAAGAGGACCCATGGATGACCGTCGTCCCATATATGAATCGACATCTTGACCGATGGACCGATGGTAATTGAAATGCGATGGAGAGTGTGGGTGGCTGCCCTTGGGCAAACCATTACAAGTTCGCCAATATGTTGGAGTTCGGGAGCCTCATTCCAGTGCCTGATGGTCTTCTCAAGCCCGTTTTCCTCACCCGTCTGCGCAAAGCATACCACAACATTGACCGCTACAACAGTCGCTTCGACTTCGTGTACATCACGAGTTCGCCACGAACTTGGACGAGTTCACTGAAATAAGAGTTGATAGACACAGCTCGTCATTGTTCATTCTTGGAGCAGTACCCACTCCGTTGCCCAGGGATTTATCCACGAGCTGTGTCATACTGTTGTGTGCGGTTGAGTATTACCGGATATGAATTCGCAAGAGTGCTATGTGTGGCATCTTCAAACAAATCTAGGAAACTCGTAGATGCAGTTGTGCGTGTATCATGGATCCAGCTCTTTCTTCAGCCGCCACATGGTTGGTGGTTGCCTGTTCGCTGGGATCCAGATGGACGGTCAGATGTGGTGATAGCAGGCCAGATGCAAAATCCGACATTGTGGCAACAACTGAAAGAGAAAACGATGGTCATACGAGACGCCATTGGGAATTCCTTAGTACGTCCGTGAGGGTTTGTTAGGTTGAAATACATGTCGGTATTTTCGGAGAATGCAACAATCAAGGAGCCGCAGATCCACGTATATGGATCGTCCATGAATGCTATGTATGGTTTCAGTCCACGACCTCGTCCGCGGCAATCCCCGTACGACACAATATCCGGACGGGTTATCAGACCTCCTACTTAAGGGATGCAGTTTAGTGACAATGTAATCATGGCGGATATAATGTTTTTTCTGTTTTTTTTTTTCCGTTATACGGAACATTTTCGTAGTTAAACAATTTTGTAATTGTATAATAGACGTGCCTGTGTATAATATTCAGAATCTAATATGACGAAACTCGCGAATTTTGTTCGTCTACACGCTCAACTTGCAGGATGGAAGTCGGTTAAACAAGCTCGCATGGAAGCGGATCCTCTCATCAAGTTTCATCAACAATTGAGGATCTCATTATCTTAGACACTAACATTTGGTCGGTTGATATCGTCGATGAATTTGCGAATTATGAGTTCATAAATGTCGAAAACGAAGTTGGACCGGATGGTGAAATTCTACCGATCATGGGTTTGTCAACAGACAAGAGACGATTGTGTCCGACAATGGATCAAATATGTGGTACCTGTACATAAMGGAGGATGACACATACGTCATTGTATCGAGGAAAGACGTTGTGGATCCTTTGGAGATGCTAACCAACTGGAGGGAGGTATGCAGGAAACAGGACTGGGACGAGAAAGACAAATTGGAACAAAAAGTGTGCGAGTGGTATTCCATTGCTTGCACCGGTGGTGGTGGACTTCTATGGTCGAATCCGAGTATGCAATAGAGGTACGGCCATAGTGACACTTTTTACAGCAGCGAAGATAACTGGCACGACAATGAATGTGTCGTTCACTGTCCGGGAAGAATTTTGGGACCCCGCGGGTTCGAGCAAACTCGAACAGTTTCGGAATCGGTTGGAAATTTACGCGACACTTAGGAAAAAGTTAGTATACAGGGTTAACAGTTTGGTGCATGTGCAACTTTACTACCTTTTTGACAAATGTGAGGAGATAGTATTCACAGTCGAGCATAGAAAATGCGACACGGATGAAGTGACTCGTACGAAGCAGTAGCATCGATCGGGACAGAAAGAAGTACCGTTAGTGGGTGGCAGACATAAGATAGTGATAGATTGTCCGTATTGTGAAGACATTAAGCACGCAACAAATTTTCTACCTCTTATTCTTCACGGGACCCTGGATATGAGCCAGTAGCATCGCATGTTTGTCCAGGTCGAGACATGTTCAACAATCGATGCGCTTTATCGCTGACACGCGTTCCAGACTACAATGGTCAGATATGTGAATGACTTTGAACACTATGGAGATAAGAATTGTTAGCGCACTGCAACAATCATGAGTTTCACTTTGTGTGGTGAACGCAAAATTGTTTTTTTAGTTATGTTTAATCGTGTTTTTTTCACCAGTTGTTTCGTTTTTTGTTACGATGATGTGGACAAAGTTTTGAAAATCGCAAACATTTGCAATTTACAAGCTCAAAGTTACCATAAACAAACGTGTTTGAATTTATTTTTTCTTTATTTTTTATTTTTTTTTAAGACAATTTTTGTTGTATCATCTACAATTTCTTGGTTCGAATAATGTCGATATTTGTCGGATGACTAATTTTGAACAATATTATCTAACCGATCTTGCAGGGTTATAGTACTCGACATCACAACAGGAGACAATAATAGGCAAACCTTATACAACAATGACGCGCATCACTCCCATCGCAGTGCCTGCAGGGGCAGCTCTCAGAACAATAAACGGACTGTTTCCATACAAATATATGAGTCAATAGTAAGATGTGAAGTTGGTGGTTGTAAATTATTTGTAGTTGCCGTGAGGTTCACGGAAATCGACGTGTATGACGTGCGAACTTACGGAAGACAAGGACAAACAGGGACAGTGGAAGAGTATGTGAAATGCCACGAAGCAGCTTTGCAAGTCCACGAGGAAAAAAAAATTACATTGATGGGCGAGGGTCGAAGACTTGAAGGTTGGTCTGCTTTCGTAACCAAGTTTGAAAGTATGCCTATTCCACCTATCCCGAAGTGCATGCTCGACGTCTCGAACGATGCGACGATGTGGATTCCCATCATGAATGCAACAAATAGGAGCCGTCAGTAATATGATAATAGGAAAACGTAAGAGTATGAGCGAGGATAATTTTTAAAAGATGATAAGTGGCTAAGTTGTAGACATGGACCGACAGTGACATACGTCATGCACATGTAGACAAATTTTGAGTTTTTTTGTTGCAATTGCAATGTAGTAATTGTGACGAACTCGTAAAAATATGATATGATTATCAAATTTTTGACTAAAAATTGCCTTGCGGATCACATCTATGTATCAATTTTAAGTTAGTTATTCCATTTGCAACGTGCGTTGGATGTTATAATGTGTTGTGAGGGCGTTTTGTTCCCACGTGTGGCAAAAAAAAACAGGACTTGCAGATGCAAAACGCATTGACAATCTTATTATATTACCATAACGATGCAGATTTCAGAAAAAAAAACAAAACATTGCTGATGAATCCTTAGCAAACCAAAACGAAATGCTT